ACGGGCCTGCTCGATCCCATTACGGACGTACTCGAACCCGTGCTCGATCCCATTACGGACATACTCGAGCCCATCACGAACGTTCTCGATCCCATCACGGACGTAATCGTGCCCGTACTCGATCCCATCATTGACGCACTCGATCCCATCACGAACGTACTCGATCCCATCACGAACGTACTTGATCCCATCATTGACGTGCTCGACCCCATCATTGGCGCAGTCGATCCCATCACGGACGGAATCGATCCCATCATTGACATTGCGCCAATCATGAACGTACTCGATCCCATCATCGACGTCGCGCCGATCACGAACGTATATCCAACGTACACCAAAGAGTCTCGGTATGGGCCGACGCACGTCGACTACGCGGCTAACCACCACCATTACCGGGAGGATTCGTTTGACATCGACACGGAAACGATTGCCAGCGAAGAAGGGTGCCCCGAGGTGCCATGCCGCGAGGTCTTGGACTTTGAGAATGGCAAGTGCACCTACACGCAGCTGCCGCGCGGTACGCTCTGCCCGGGCCAGAGCTGCGACAACGGCGGTCCGTGCGATGCCGACGAGAACGACTACTGCGACGGCGACGGCACGTGTCTGAACGGCTACAAGGACCAAAGCACCGTCTGTCGCAAGGCCGCAACCTCTGCGACGCGGCCGAGCTCTGCAGAGGCGACAGCAGCCAGTGCCCGGACGACGAGTTCGCGCCGTCGTCCAAAGTGTGCACCAAGATGGGCAAGTCCTCGGGTGGCCCGTGCGACGCACCCGACTACTGCGACGGCCGTGGTCGCTGTGTGGACAAGTTCCAGCCCAGGAAACATGTTTGCCGCCGCGCCATCGATGTCTGCGACGAGGCAGAAACGTGCACGGGCGTCAGCGGTGACTGCCCCAGCAACAGCTTTGCACGCAAGGGAATCGAGTGCACCTCGATTGGCGAATCGTCGGGCGGCGCGTGCGACGACGTTGATCGTTGTGACGGTTACGGCAAGTGCATTGACCACTTTAAAGGCACGAAGCATCTCTGCCGCCGGGAAGTCGACGTCTGCGACGAGCCCGAGTATTGCTCGGGTGAGTGTGGCGTCTGTCCCGACGACGTTGCCGCGCCCATGGGCAAGGTCTGCACGCAGATTGGCAAGTCGAGTGGTGGCAAGTGCGACGGCGTCGATGTCTGTGACGGGCACGGAGGCTGCATCGAAACG